GGGGTATTGTAGATTGGCAAAGTCTGCCTTCACTAGAACGGGAAAGACGGTACAGAAAAGGAATGCGCTAGTCGGTAATACCTCGGTGTAGAATTTTCTCTTTTTCTAACAATTTGGTCTGTATACAATGTCCGCCTTCATCACAAGAATCAAGAAGTTTGTGTTCAATGCAGTGCTCGCTAAATTTAGACTGGTGATGCTGGCCTGGTCATCCAGTAGGCGTAAGTATGTGTCAAGATTCTGAGAGTCGCACTAAAAGTCAATCTTCTTCATAACAACAGATGCCAAACATAGCATACCGCGTCATCGGTTTTTTCAACATACGAGTATGTCACAAATTCCCAAGTGAGCTGAGTCGGCGGAGGTGAACACTAGAGTGTCCCAGCAGTAGTTTATGGGGCGATCACACATGTATAATTCTGAAAATGAGGCGAACTCGGGAGCGATGAATGACTATTTCATTCGAAATTGTGAAGGCTTGAAGCCACAAGATCTGCAGAGAAATGACAGTCCTGACCAATTGAACGAAGGGCATACTCGTACTATAACATTTCTTCATGAACAGAGCATCTAAAAAGTCCTGGTGTGAAAATGCCCTGCCTCCTGATGAGTCGATGAAACTCCGACGAAACAGTTTGTCACAGCCCCTCGTTTGTTGTCCTCTTCTCCCTCTCTGCCGATGGTTTACTGGGCAGTTCTGTTTGACAATGTATGCGCTTCTTGGGGTAATTTTCAGCCTTCCTTTAGAGGGAAGAAGAAGAGGGCATGAAAGGGAGGTGAAGGTCTGAACCACAGACGAGGATTGAGGCGCATGCTGCACACCCCGACAGTGGTTGCAGCAACATGGGTCAGCAGATAAACAAATCAATCATCGGAGTATGCGTGGCTACCAAGTGTAGACGGGTATGTTCACTTGGAGAATTGTGGTTGCAAAGTTTGCTAATTTAGAGTCTAGAGTGTATATAATTGGAGGAACATGAGAGGACTGGTGCTCAATTGGTTGCCAATTATATGTTATGGTGATCAGATGATCTTGCTGGATTGTAGTCCAAAGGGTTCCTGTGGGCATCATCCCACTGGGCTGCCGTACACCTGTGGAATTAGGATCGCAATACGCTAAACATGTGTCAAGTGGTCCCCTTGGAAATGGTTCTGTAGCGAACGGTGCTCTGATTGATGCTATCAAGTCCTCCCCACTCAGGAGATCACTGTAGCATGCCTTGCCCTAGACCAGTGGTCAGACACCCTTCTAAGAATGATTGACAGCTTTTCAGTTTTCAACTTTTCAAAAAAAAAAAAAAAAAAAAAAAAAGACTGACAAAAGGGTTTATTTTATGGAAGCTGCAACAACAACAGTGGTAGAGAGTACTAGAGGCCCTATTTCCATCTTTTCCAATATTGGTTTATTTCAGTTCCATCTTTTCAATCGCGACTTGACAGAAATAATACTTTTTTTGGCCTCACTCCACTGCTCACCAAATGTGCAAAATGAGCATGAATCTTCCGCTAGAACAAGGACAGATACACCGCCATATTTTTTGTCTTTTTTGCATGAGGAGTGTAGTGGAGCGACGCCCGTAGTCCACTTGATGTAATAAGGCTGATGAATGAGACAAACAGTTACTATCAACGAAGTAAGGAACATGGAGGACGAGAAACGTACGCACACAACAGGATACCGAAAAACAGCCCCGGTTGCGATGAGGGCATCGTGAGTGAGTAACGGGTACACAACAGGATACCAAAAAACAGCCCCGGTTGCGATGAGGGCATCGTGAGTGAGTAGGGGGTAGATGTCGGGACCCTTGGTTCTCAGACTGAGGATCCAAGAAATAGAAGACTGAAAATGGTGGTCTGTGCATCTAAGAAGAAGGAGCCACACTGCGGAATGCTGAAGGCACGACCTTGACGCAGGCTCCAAGCTCTAAAAGACGGAACCTGCAAAAAAAAACTGGCCGCCGTGGCCGGACCAAACCTGGACCATAGAAGGGGAGGACCCTGTGAAGAGGGCAACATACTGGGCCACGGCAAGCCTAGAATGAATACGCTTATACTCTGAACAAAGTCCGAAGTCCGGAAATGTCTTCCATTGTCAGAAGGCATTAGCCTGGTTGTTTTCACAAGTGGGAACAAACCAACTGACCATACTGAGCGTTGACAAGGTCCAAAGTCCATAAGAAAAGATCAGAAGCGGCTCTTAGGGGCTGCGCTAATTTGTACCATGTTCATTCTCAGAAGAAGACATGAACCTTGTCATCATCATGGTGAGGTAACCAGGTTCATTCTTTCTAAGCATGAAAGTAGCACCAGTAGCGCCTTGCTGGCAGGCTTGTGACATGAGCTACATTCTACGGACCTCCAGCACAGACATCAGGTGGACGCTAGGCTGTTGGGATCTGGATCCTGATCCAGATGTCGGGACGACGATGACCTGCATACGAAAGTTCACAATCAGTTTTTGCAGTTTTTCCCGTAATGTTTTAGCGAAATTTGGATCGGGTCATCGTCGTCCATGTATCTGGATCGTCGTAATTGCAAGGAAAATGAGATATAGCGAAATGACAGAAATCCAGAATGCAAAATCACATTGAAAGCCAGCAAGTCCAACGCTGTCCAGAAAGCAGAAATGCACTGATATTCCACCAACGGAGAACCAAAAGCACTGAATCCAAATGTCAATGAGAGCATACTCTCACACCAACAACATATGCATCCAGCGTTCTTCCTCCTACTTGGCGCTCAGCGCCCAGACTACGATCACACAGCCTACTAGCGGCCTACGAATTGACAATGCATCCAGTTGACGTCAGCAGCAGAACCGAAGTACATGAAGATGTCGACCCTTGTAGACCATTGCTAAGACCAGGTATGTGCCCTCGCATCATCAACCCCATCTCTCTCTCTCTCTCTCTCTCTCTCTCTCTCTCTCTCTCTCTCTCTCTCTCTCTCTCACTCCTCGATTTTGTCACCCACGTCTTCTCCCTTATACATGAAGACCACCGCCACCTCCCGCTGGCTGCCCAAGCCGAGCCCGGCTATGGTCGGGCTGGCTATGGCGCTGACCTCAGCAGCTCCCTGCCTCTCTTCGACGCCCGCGTGTGCCTGCCCTGCACCTAGTGCTAGCGCACGCTCAAGCAGCGCTGGCGGATGCACTACGTAGCGCCCGCCCACCGTGACCGGAGCCCGGCCCTTTCCTATATGGAAAGTTGCGGGCGCTTTCCCTTGCTTCACCTGTGAGACCAAGTTTCCAGTAGCTTCAGTCTCGGCCAAAGTGTCTGCGCCCAGGTCCGTTCAGCCTGGGACCGAATTGGTTAGGCATGCCCAACCACCCAGGTTCAAACGTGCGGTGCTCCCTGCTCCGACCACGTTGCTGGAAGAGCCTGGAAGGCTCATGCATATTTCCGATTCCTCACGAGCAAAGCAGATGTAACCAACTGGCGTGTGGCAACTGTCTGACGCCCACCAAGATTTGCAAAAATTGATGAGTTCAGGGCACCCTGAGATTCAGGGGGCCCGCCTTCACTTAGGGCGGGCACGCGCCTGGTGCAGGGCCTTATGCCGAGGGGTACACCCTCGCATAATGGGACATTACGGGAGTAAATGCAAAACTGAATGTCAATTGGGCATACTCTTTTGTATGTACAGAAGAGTATGTCTTGATGATGTCTGGACAACAATGACCTGCATCCCAAAGTTCACAATGAGTTTTGCAGTCGTTCCCGTAAGGGAACATACTCTTTTGTAGATCTACAAAAGAGTATGTCCCATTGCATTACAACACAGACAGCTTTTCGCTTTCACTTAGGGTGGCTGTCAAATTCCTTATCAATTTGCCTTACTGTAGAGAAGGAACAGAGTTCCCTATTAAATTCCTTATTTCTTCTTCTTCTTCTTCTTCTTCTTCTTCTTCTTCTTCTTCTTCTTCTTCTTCTTCTTCTTCTTCTTCTTCTTCCTCCTCCTCCTCTTCCTCCTCCTCCTCC